GGCTGTTCTCTCTGGGTGCTTCCGGGGGACAATATGCTCCTTGTCCTCTGTCTGTCTCCGTGCTTATCCCCCTTGTTCTCTCCAACTCGTGCCCTTACTTCTCTCTTTCTCTCTCTCTCTCTCTCTCGCTGTTCTTCTCTCTAGGTGCTTATTTGGACACATGATTCTCTTCGTCTCCCATCTGTTTGCGTACTTGTCTCCCTTGTTCTCTCCAAGTTGTACTGTATCCTTAATTGCCTCCCCCTTGCTATTCTTCTCATTTCTTCTCTTAGGCTGCTTTCTGTACTTGTCTCTTAATTGCTGTGCTTGTCTCTGCGTGCTTTGGGACGAAACCTATTATCCGTTACATTCCCTTACCCTCGGTCACTACCACATGTTACCCTACTTGACTTCCTACTTGTCCCCAACTTGTCTCCTTATCATCTCTCCACTACCGTGCTTCTTTCCGGGTCACCAGCATTTTGGGACGGAGAGGAGAGTTTTTCTCCTCTTTCCTTTCTTTCCTTACTTGTTCCTCTAGTTTTTCCCAATGCTTTCTTCGCTTCTCTCCTCATTAATTACTGTTGTTCTCTCTGGGTGCTTTTGGACCCTGGACTCCTGATTCTTCTCGTCTCCCATTTGTGTCCGTGTTTGTTCCCCTTGTTCTCTCCAAGTTGTATCCTTCATTCCCTTCCCATTGCCATTCTTCTACCAGGCTGCTTTGGGAAGAATCGATTTCCTGGTCTTTGTTTCTCCCTACTTGCCTTCCTTTGTGGAAGTCTGTGTGATTTGGGACGAAACCATACGAAACCCATTATCCGTTACTCCGTTACATTCCCTTACCCTGGGTCCCTACCATATGTTACCCTATTTGCCTTTCTACTAGTCCCCAACTTGTCTCCTTATCATCTCTCCACTACCGTGCTTCTTTCCAGGTCTCCAGCATTTGGGACGGAGAAGAGAGCTTTTATCCTCTTTCCTTTCTTTCATTACTTGTTGCTCTAGTCTTTCCCACTGCCTTCTTCACTTCTCTCCTCACTACCGTTGTTCTCTTTAGGTGCTTTTGGGACCCAAGATTCTCCTTGTCTCCCACGTGTGTCTAGGCTTTAGGACCTCTAGGTGCTTTGGGGCAATAAACATTCCCGAGTCCTTCATTTGTGTTGCAGTCCTCCTCTCTCCATTCCTTTTGTCCATCCCTGTTACTGTTCTTCTTCCTGGATGCTTCTGGGCACAGGATACTCTTCGTCTCTTCGTCTCCCATTTGTTTCCGTGTTCGTTCCCCTTGTTGTCTCAAACTTGTTTCCGTACTTCTCTATCTATTGCTATTCTTTTCTCTGGGTACGTTTGGGACGCAAAGTTCTTTTTTTCCACCTGTTTCTGTGCTTGTCACCCTTGTTGATCCATTGCTCAGTGTTCTTTGTTTTGGTTGCTTTGGGGAAAGGACTCTCCTTGTGTCCCATCTGTTTCTGCGCCCGTCTCTCTGCTTGTTCTCAACTTGTTTTGACACTTCTTTCTTCGTTGCTGTTGTTCTCTCTGGGTGCTTCCGGCGCACAGGATGCTCATCGGATGCTCCTTGTCCATTGTCTGTTTCCGTACTTGTCATCCTTGTTGTCTCCATTTCGTGCCCTTCTTTCTTTCTTTCTTTCTTTTTTTCTTTCTCTCTCTCTCTCTCTCTCTTGCTCTTCTTCTTTCTAGGTGCTTGTTGGGACCCCTGATTCTTCTTGCCATCTGTTTCCGTACGTGTCTTCCTTGTTCTCTCCAAGTTGTATACTTGTCTCCCTTGTTCTCTCCAAGTTGTATCCTTCATTCGCTCCCCATTGCTATTCTTCTCTCAGGCTGCTTTGGGCAGAATGCTTCTCCCTACTTGTCTTCCTTCGTATAAGTCTCCTTGCTTGTCTCTGTGTGCTTTGGGACGAAACCTATTATCCGTTACATTCCCTTACCCTCTCTCTACTACATGTTTCCCTCCAAGCGGTCTCCTTATCCTCTCTCCACTACCGTGCTTCTTTCTAGGTCTCCAGCATTTTGGGACGGAGAAGAGAGCTTTTATCCTCTTCCCTTTCTTTCATTACTTGTTCCTCTTGTCTTTCCCAGTGCCTTCTTCCCTTCTCTCCTCATTACTGTTGTTCTTTTTGGGCGCTTTTGAGACACAGGACTTTCATTGTCTGCAGTTTGTTTCCTTATTTTGCTACATAGTTTAATATTGGTGGCTTTTTTGGGTGGATATATAGTTTAGTATTGATGATTTTTGGGGTCAACAAAGTATATAATAAGATTCTCAGAAAGGGAACCACACACACACATGGTTTAGCATGTTTTTTAAAACATAGTTTAGTATGCTTTGAATACATCTTTTAGTATTGACATTTTTTGCATATATAGATTACTATTGGGAGCTCAGCTTCTCGTTTTTGAGTATGCATTTTTTTTTTAATTTGTTGAATCTTTGAATTCAAAAAAAAAGCAAAAAATATGAAATTCCCAGAAAGAGAGCCAGACTTAGTTTAGCAGTAGTTTTTTTAAAATGAATACATAGTTTAGTATTGTTTAAATGCATAGTTACATAGTTTAGTATTGAGTTGTTTTTTGCATATATAGATTACTATTGGGAGCTAAGCTTCTCACTTTTGGGGTATTCATTTTTTTTTCATTTTTTTGATTTTTTTGAATTTGAAAAGATGAAGACATGGAATTAAAAAAATATTATAGAAACTAAGGAAAAAAAGAAATATATATTTAAGAATTGATGGTGTTATGACACAATATTAAAAATGTAAGGATCAGAAAAATAACATAAAAGATAAAAAGTGAAAAAATGATGGATTAAAAAGAAACGCCTATTTAAAAAAAAAAATGAATTCAGAAAATTCAAAAAAACAATAACAAAATGAAATTCCCAGAAAGAGAGCCAGACTTAGTTTAGCAGTAGTTTTTTTTCAAATACACAGTTTAGTATTCGGATTTTTTTTTGAATACATAGTTTAGTATTGAGTTTTTTCCATATACTGTATAGATTACTATTGGGAGCCCAGCTTCTCACTTTTGGGGTATTCATGTTTTCACTTTTTTATAATTTTTGAATTCAGAAAATTCAAAAAAATCAAACACATATGCATTCACATTTTTTTGATTTTTTTGAATTTCGAAAAAACAAACAAAATATTCAAAAAAATTAGCCAAAAACGAAAATATTTTGAATATTGTGTTCTTTTTTGAATTTCAAAAAAATCAAAATATTCAAAATATTCAAAATATAATGAACTTCTCCCAAAAGTCTCGCTGAACCTCTTTTTTGGTGATTTCATTATTTTTTGAATATTTTGAATATTTTGAATTTTTTGAATTTCAAAAATTTCAAAATATTCAAAAAAATTAGCCAATACAAAAATATTTTGAATATTTTGAATTTTTTGAATTTCAAAAAAATCAAAATATTCAAAAAAATTAGCCAATACAAAAATATTTTGAATATTTTGAATTTTTTGAATTTCAAAATATTCCAAATATTCAAAAAAATTAGCCAATACAAAAATGTTTTGAATATTTTGATTTTTTTGAATTTCAAAATATTCAAAATATTCAAAAAAAATAGCCAATACAAAAATATTTTGAATATTTTGAATTTTTTGAATTTCAAAATATTCAAAATATTCAAAATATTCAAAATATTCAAAATATAATGAACTTTTCCCAAAAGTCTCTCTGAACCTCTTTTTTGGTGATTTCATTATTTTTTAAATATTTTGAATATTTTGAATATTTTGATTTTTTTGAATTTCAGAATATTCAAAATATTCAAAAAAATTAGCCAATACAAAAATATTTTGAATATTTTGAATTTTTTGAATTTCAAAATATTCAAAATATTGAAAAAAATTAGCCAATATAAAAATATTTTGAATATTTTGAATTTTTTGAATTTCAAAAATTTCAAAATATTCAAAAAAATTAGCCAATACAAAAAATATTTTGAATATTTTGAATTTTTTGAATTTCAAAATATTCAAAATATTCAAAATATTCAAAATATAATGAACTTCTCCCAAAAGTCTCTCTGAACCTCTTTTTTGGTGATTTCATTATTTTTTAAATATTTTGAATATTTTGAATTTTTTGAATTTCAAAATATTCAAAATATTCAAAAAATTTAGCCAATACAGAAATATTTTGAATATTTTGAATTTTTTGAATTTCAAAATATTCAAAATATTCAAAAAATTTAGCCAATACAAAAATATTTTGAATATTGTGAATTTTTTGAATTTCAAAATATTCAAAATATTCCAAATATTCAAAATATTCAAAATATTCAAAATATAATGAACTTCTCCCAAAAGTCTCTCTGAACCTCTTTTTTGGTGATTTCATTATTTTTAAAATATTTTGAATATTTTGAATTTTTTGAATTTCAAAATATTCAAAATATTCAAAAAATTTAGCCAATACAAAAATATTTTGAATATTTTGAATTTTTTGAATTTCAAATATTCAAAATATTCAAAAAATTTAGCCAATACAAAAATATTTTGAATATTTTGAATTTTTTGAATTTCAAAATATTCAAAATATTCAAAAAATTTAGCCAATACAAAAATATTTTGAATATTTTGAATTTTTTGAATTTCAAAATATTCAAAATATTCAAAAAATTTAGCCAATACAAAAATATTTTGAATATTTTGAATTTTTTGAATTTCAAAATATTCAAAATATTCAAAATATTCAAAATATAATGAACTTCTCCCAAAAGTCTCTCTGAACCTCTTTTTGGCGTCTAGGAGATTGCTTTCAATTTGAAATGGAAGCCAATAGTCAACGGTCAAATAGTACATGAAGGTCCATCGTACATATATATATATATATATATATATATATGTAGATATTGTTTGATGTTTGACATTATATGTTTGTTTCAGAAGGCAAGGTTTCGGAGACTCACAAGACCTGTTTGCTTTGGCAGCCTTCTGGTGATGCGACAGGGTGGGATGGAACTGCCGAAGAATGAACCATTGACCGTGGTCATGTGCTGCAAGGTGACTCGGTGCAACTGCAGCAACAACTCAACTTGCTAGTGGCCTCACTGGATTTTCCCAACAAGCATTACCCTCTGGTTATTTAACATAGCCATGGGAAATGACCCATTTATAGATGGTTTACCTATTAAAAATGGTGATTATTGTTTGACTAGCTGAACTGCAATTTATGGGTGATTTGCCAGTAGGACCAATTCAAACCGCTCAGCTGATACCTTGATGAACGCCTTTTCCTTTGCAGCCGTAGGAAGACAGGTGGACACGAAACAACTTGTGATGTAGTGATCAAACAAGCTTGTACATTACCCTGAGAACAGCAACAAAAGCGCTGAGCACTTCGACATGTTAAACATGCCTACCTTGATCGCACACAATTCTGAACAATTTGCAAAAGGCAAAAACATGTCTCGTGAGTTGTGAATTTGTGGACTGGATTTCTTCGTGCAGGATGCTGAAAGCATTTGGAAAGCTCCAGAGCAAGCTGAAGCGATCCGTCGCAAGGTTCAGGACCATCCTGGATCATTTTGCGGGAGGAAGGGTCAATCTTGGAAAGCTCAACAGGTGTGAGGGAGAAATTACCTGACTTCAAATCTGTAGTTGCTGCAGTAGATCCCAGGGTGTAGTTGTTTCTGGATTGAAGAAACCCTACACCACATGGTCTGTTGGAAACCATGAAAAAAGACTGGACCATATGCATCCTTCAGACTACAGGGAACGCCTTCACAAGCAGCAACTTGCCGGTATTAGAGGAGCTCACAAAGTCCAAGATGCCGCCTCCTCTGACACTCGAGGCCAAGTTCATCAAGACCTAATCCTTCAACACCCCCCCATATGGGCCCTCAAAATACAGAGGGAAAGGGATTAGTAAAGTAATCCGAATTTGGAGTAATTGAATGACTGTCACTAGTCGAGTCATCCCCTCTTAAGCCAACCCAATGCGTATTTCTCATTGCCTCTTGCTCTGTTCAGACCAGCAACGAGCCTGCAGTTTCCGTGGTCTCCTTGGAGACCAAGCAGGCAGGTGTTGTAGCGGCACCCACTGCATGGGCTTTCCAAGACGAGATTAACAATGATGGTTCCATGTTACCATGAAACCTTCGATTGTGCCAGCAAGCGGAGGTGCTTTGCTCTGCTGCAAGCACAGCGGAGCTTCTTACCATCCTCAGCGCAGCAAGTACAAGTGCAACGCAGGCGTTGTTGCAGTGGAGTTCAACCCAGTCTTGCTATTCCCGGCTTCAACTGTTGACTCTGTTGATGATTGTGCAGTTCCACCCACTAGACTCACTAGACCCTGTGTCGGCACCTTGCTGTTGCAAGTGTGTGCGTTGCGAGGCTCCTCCTACCAACGGCCATGTGAAACTGCCCAAGGGGCACTTAGCAGTGGTAGCTGGATGCAATGGTGATATTTGGGAGGCACCCAAGGGCAGGATTTCAGAAGATTTTTCCTGTTGCAACCAGCGAACGGCGCTTGTGGCAGGTAGCAATTCAAGCAGGAAGGTTGAGAGAGAAGATCAAGGACAAACCATGGAACTCTAGCTCACTCCCTTTGATCTACATACCATGTTATCATATCGTAGTAGAACCGCACAAGGTGGTGGCGGAAGTTTCAAAGATAGAAAACTATAGGAGAGGTGAGTTGTTGTGATGCATGGATGGCAGAGCGAATCCACTGATGGAATGGAAGGTGGCTGAGGCTCTGAGTCTCTCCTTCTCTCTCCGTTTCCTTCTCTCTGTCTCTCTGTCTCTCTCTCTCTCTCTTTACCTATCTATCTGTCTATCTTTTGTCTATCTGTCTATCTTTTGTCTATCTGTCTGTCTATCTGTCTACCTATCTATTTATATGTATCTATCTATCGGTCTACCTGTATAACTATCTATTTGCCTGTCTGTCTTTCTATCTATCCATCCATCTATCTATTTGTCTGTCTGTCTATCCATGTATCTTGCTATCTATCTATTTGTCCTTCTATCTTTCTATCTATCTACCTATCTATCTATCTATCTACCTATCTATCTATCTATCTATCTTTCTATCTATTTGTCTTTCTATCTTTCTATCTATCTATCTTTCTATCTATCTATCTATCTGTCTATCTATCTATCTGTCTGTCTTTCTGTCTGTCTATCTATCTATCTATCTATCTATCTATCTATCTATCTATCTATTGATGTTTTTGTTTTTTATCGATCTATCTATGTATCTACCTATTTGTCTATCTATCTATTTGTCTTTCTATCTATCTATCTATCTATCTACCTATCGATCTAGCTAGCTAGCTATCTATCTGTCTGTCTATCTTAAAACAAAGCTATTCTGCGAGATTTCGGCCCAGTTTGGAAGTTGAAAGCTGAAAAACAAAATTTCTCTGCGAGACTTAAGTCAGACTTCCTTCAAATTTGGACGTTGTAAACTTTTCTGCGAGACTTCCTGCAAATTTGACATGTCACTGACAGCTTCGACGCCACAGTTACAGTGCGATTTGCAGATTTCTGCTGCCATCTCTCTGAAGTACAGTAATGCGGCTGCCACGAGAAAGTGAGGCCAGGTCATACGAAGTGCTGCACCTGTCACTCAAAATCATCTTGGCAAACCGCTCCAAAATGCAACCCCTCTAGGGAAACCTCCGGACATGTCTGCTGGAGATGTCTCTCGTACCGCGCCTGCCACGCGAAATGCATCTTTGCAGATCCTTCCAGCCTGCCATCGTGTTTGCACTTGCTACAAAACCCGCACGTTTTTAACATTTTGCTTTGAAACGTGCTTCGCCACAACAGCGTGCACTTTTTCTCCATCTCAACTTCGGTAGAGAAGTGGTTCCGGAAAGCCGACAAATGCGGCGGGTGCTGAGCCATTTGGCGGGAGGAGAGATCAAAAATCGCGGGCTGTTCTGGCGCGAAGCAGATTTGGAAGTCAAAATGGTCAAAACACATCATTCTTGGAGCACTTTTGGAAGTCGAGATGTCGAAAAAGCTGACGAAGCTGTGGTGCGAGGCACATTTGCAAGTAAAATTGGTTAAAACACTTCATTCTCGGAGCACCTTTGGAAGTTGAGATGACGAAAACGCAGACGCAGCCGTGGTGCGAAGCACATTTGGAGGTAAAATTGGTTAAAACACTTCATGGTCGGACCACTTGTGGAAGTTGAGATGGAGAAAAAGTGCAGGCGCTGTGGCGCATGCACGTTTCGAAGTCAAAATGTTAAAAACACCTCAGCCTTCTTTCTACTGACTCTTTCTCTTCTGCCTCCTTCTCATCTGACTTTTTTTGGCCTCTTCCCACCTCCGCTGCTTCATCTGTCCATCTTGTCGGAAGTTCGACTTCGAAACTTCCTTCGACGATTATCATTATTGTACCTCACCTGGTAAATACACAGAGGGATATTGTTCTTATTTGTTATATTTGATTTGTTTCTATTTTTATTTTTGATATTCTTGTTGTTATTGCTGTTTGTGTATGTAATATATCTTGATCAAGCGCTGTTGAATGGCTGTTGCTTGGTTGCTAGCTGATCCGTTCATGCAACATGTGTCACAGGAGCTGTCAGGGATGACGAGCTTACCACCATTGGTGATGGACCGTGAGAAAAATGACGTGTCCATTGTGAAGATGGGCAAGGACAGGTGTTTGGGGAAGAGAAGTTTCTTCGGATGCAGGGAGAATGGTGCCCAGTGGCAATTGGAGATCGTTTGCGAGTGCTTTCAATGAAAATTAAACATGCGGAAACTATGAACAAAATTTTTCACAGGTGAATCATTTATCGGTGGGCCATTTTCAATAGTTTTGTTAAATTACCGGAGGGTATCATTTTGCATCCTTGGCAGGACGTGGCCCATGGTGAGGTGATTTGTTCTGCTCCAGGGCTTGCTGATGTTCTTGCAGCCCTGTGCTGAAACGAAACTCCCACATTGAAGTAACAGTGCAATCTTCCTCCTTGGGAGTCTCAAAATTTGGGACCCCCAAGTGCACCACTTGCGGTGGATTTTAAAGTGGAAATCATCCGAGTTTCTAGGAACTGAAATATTTACAAAAGACACCAAGAGATACACAGTAAAGTTGATTCAGAATTTACAATCTTGAAACTTCTCAATATCAATTCATATTCTACACTCTGTAGTTGCTTCAAGCTTTGAGAACACAAAATATATTTTCATGTATCCTCTATGAACAAAGCATTGAGCCATAGTCTGAAAGGCTCTGTGCTTAAGGGATCATCATGGATCGCCTAGAGTTGGCATTTTTCGTGTCATGTCACCTGTGCATGGCTGTGAGTCTCACATGAGTTTTTCGTGCAATCTCAAACGTTGTAGAAATGGAGGAAACCCCGCAACCGCGACAGCAGCTGCGATGCTTTCAATTGCAGCACTATTCAACAAACCCAGGGTTTGTAACGTCAATGAAGTGTGGGTTTCATGTTCTACAGTCTGCAGTGCTTCATGTGCGCTACTTGGACACGCATCAGCACGTCCTAGGTTCCACCTGGAAGCTTTCCAACGTGCGAGGGAATTGCAGTCAGAGAAGGCACCAAGATGGTCTTGTGGCAACTTTTGGTAATGTTTTTTTCCTCCACAAAGCTGTCATTTCACTGCAGATTTCAGTCATGAGCCCTAAAGCAGGTGAAAGTCCCACCACGGAAGCGCCGGGTTTCAGTCACTTTCGAGAGCCGTCCCTTTGGGATGACACCTGCGAAAGATGAAGGCGGCTGTGCCAAACATATCGACCCTAGGCAGATATGTTCGGAGACCACACGAGTAGATTATGATGGCCAAAGTTGATTATTAATAGTACACACAGACCCCGAGGTTTGCCCAAGCTCGGCATATCAGTGAGACTAGATTATCAGACATGTTCTAGACGTGGAATCATGCAAAAATGCTATTAGGGTTTACATGAGGTTTCGGGCTTAGGGTTTAGGGTTGACCATTATGATGATGATGATGATGATGATGATGATGACGATGATGACGATGATGACGAGGACGAGGACGACGAGGACGACGGCGACGACGACGACGACGACGACGATGCTCAGTATTCCTCATTGAGAGTCTGGGCAAACCTCAGGGTCTTGCCGCAATAGTAGTCAGTAGTACTTGAAATTCAATCAACGAATGTCAAGTCAGGTAGTGCCCGTTGCGAGGGTGTTGCGCAAGTTGTTTCCGGCAGGTGGCGGTACGTTGGGGTATGTGGTCGACAAGGCACCCTTTCCTATTCAACAACATTCAACAACAAATTTTGGTCGAAGCTGTCCAGAATAGTTTCAATGAAGGCAGGTTTCTTCGGTTCTCCAATCCATATCCGAATATCTTCAGAAACATGTCCAAAGGATTCCAAAGGATTCCAAAGGATTCCAAAGGCCTGTAGTTTTTGAACAGGCCTGAAACTACTCTCTGAGGGTTGCTCATTGCATCAGGTGAACCACAATGACCCATCCAAGCCTGCAGCACGTCTCGGGGTGAAGCCTGGCTGGGTAGTCTTTTTTACCTCAAGCCACAAGGAGGGCCAACCCTGTAAGCGTTAATGTACCCATTAAAAGGATCTCCTAGGAGTGGGGGGATTTTCATAGAGGGTTTATCCGGTTTCGACAAGGGATCCAGAGGAGAGCTAGGTGAACACGGACAAATGACTCGCAGATCAACAAACCATGGACTACAAGGAGACTACAGGGAAGAACATATCAAGAATCAAAACACATCCAAGATCCGATCAGACTGCTATTGGATACAGTTCCACAAAGATTAAGGTGGTGTTCGTTGCGGGCGAGGATGTGCAGGGAAGATCTCTGGATGATGTCCAGCAGCTCACCAAACAGGTACAGACTGCAGCCTGCTTGAGTCAGTCAGGTCACCACAAATTTGCAGTCCGGCTGAGGCTGCCTTACCCGTCACCATTGACTTTGAGGCCCATTTTTGTAAGACCATCTGTGTTTGATGTGGACAAACAGAGATGAGCGCACTTTCATGCCAACCTGACCTGGGCCCTGGCTGGCGACGCAGGTGCCAGTGGTTGTGAAGGAAAAGCAGGAGGCTTCTGACAAAAGCAGAGCTCTGAGATTGTTTGGCCTATGACTATTCTTATGGAATATTTGTTGAAATATTTTCCCTTCAAGTTCTTGAGTTAGGTCTTGCAGCTTCTGTGTTTACCCTTTACCACTTCCTGGTTTGGCTTGCTCTGCAAAGCATCGAATGAAATCAAGTCCTGCGACCCAGACACACATATTATATCACATCCTGTATGTATGTTTTACAGCTGCTGGAAACTGTGGCTGGTGCCAATAGAATATCTATTTAGTGCTAGTTGGAGGTTTAATAACTTTAGCTGCCATGGAATCCTGTTAAACATGGGGGCACCAAGATCGGAGCAAGTCAGCACCTCAACAACCTCGCCCTCCACCACAGCCAACTCGTGAGTTGGGGAAGCCCAGCAACGCCCATAGTGGCAGCCATTTGATTGGATCTGTGTGTTTTTTTAATCACTTTCCCAGGGGTTAATCCTCCATGTGTAGGGATATGTAGGGTATGAGATACACTGGGAATATAGTAATTTTGTACTTCCCTTCAGCAAGTCCAAGTTTGAGCGTTATACTCCAAATGTGTCGTGCCCAAGATCGCTGAAGATGCATTTCTTGAGAGAAGTAGGGTCACACGTGGGACTGAGCACCAAAGTTGCAAATAGATCAGTAACGTCACAGGAACCCAAGACAATTCTATGGGGGAATCCAAGAAGATTCAAAGTGGAGAACTTGTGCCATCAAGTGGGACACATACCTTGTTCCATGTGCCAGCAACTTTGCAGCTGCAACTGGGAAGAAGACGAAAGTCCAACCGTTTTCAAGGGGCATCAATCTTTCCAACTTCCTTCTCTCCGCTCTGATTTATCGTATTTTGTTTCTGTATTTTTTTTAAGTTTTAGCTATAGAATACCGATGATCTACGTGGTAAATAGGAAATTGACTGATCGACAATTTGTGCGGCCGAAAAACTTTCTCCAGCACAAGGTCGAGAGAGCGTACCGAAACTCAACGTTTGCAGGCGCTTCTGAGGACTGGTGTTCAGCAACTCTTCCGTCAGTTGATTGGTAATATGGGATGAGAGTCAAACCTAGTCAAATGTGACCATTGCTGACAACATCTGAAGGAATCTTTTGCAAGAAAAGTGACTTGTGCGGAGTGCTCATCTTACTCATCAGAGGATAAGACCCCATGGATGGCTAAGGGTTACTTGATAGAGCTGCATGAGGACCCTAGACTCCGAGGAAAAGTTGCCTGCCACCGTCAGGGCACCCGCATCTGGACTGTTTCACACAATGTTGTTGAAAGTCGATAGTCACCGATAGTCATCAATAGTCATTGATAGATATTGATAGTAGTTGATACTTAACGCGCTGGCATTGACGGTACGCAGACTGCCACAGTGTTTTTGCATCGTGCTAAATCTTCTTCAAATCACCATCATGTGAAATTGTCCAATTGAAATGGCGTATTTCGACTTGAGTTGATACTTCAGTTTTTTTGTCTTCGGAAAATCAATTTTCTTGAGGAGCACTGGTCAAGATGAGGCGTCCAAAAAGAATTGTGTGATGGCTACAAGACACGTGAACATCACGTGAACATGTGAAGCTTTCCTGACGATAGGCATTTTCCGCTTCCAAGGTCTTCATTTTCTCTCGCCGCAGAGTGGAAGCGCTGGCTGCAGCCACTTGGTGTGTAGGGATGTCATGGGTATGTTAAAAATTTAGAACCCCCTGGGCTTCCCTCCATGGTTGCCTGGCAAGGAGATGCCAAACCTGGACGTGTGCACCAACGAGGAGAGATCGAAGGTGTCTCCCTCATTTTGGGACATGGGGTGAGATTCTTGGTGCTAGGCAGAGAAAGCTGAGAGGAAAACTGTAATTCTTGTTTCTTTTTTGCAGTTTTTTTTGCGTGAACATTACTATTTGCGTACTTTATTTGCAATGTCCGTTGTATTTGATGCTCAAGTTGTCGGTTTTCCTAGGACATGGTCAGAATGAGTCACAGGCAAGAAAATCAAACACATGCTGCTTGTTGCTTCAATCAACGTGACATTTCATTGTTCGTTCAAGCGAAGGCGGATCCACGTTGCCACTGCCACGTTACAAGATCATTCACACTGGAAACACAAACGTGAGACGCATGACCGCAAGCGGGAAAACAAGACACGTTCTTCCCGGAGCCGTTTCCGAGCCTATGTGGTGAGGCAGGAGAGATGAAAGTGCGATACATTTGCGTTCTTGATATCTGACTTGCTCAAGACAATGTCGAACTCGGCAATCTCTAGTTTGAAGGGAGAAGGCACACATGGCCATTCGTAACATCAAGGACAACTTGCTGCCCACAGGTGTCTCTATGGTCAGTCCGTGCACCTAGTATCAGTCGACCTGCGTCTTGTATCATCAGCATAGCACTGATCTTCAGCTATTTGCTTTTGTATTCTCGCGGACGTTGACAATGCATGCAGTCAGATCGAAACAGCCTGGGCGGTTACTACTGTAGCTTATTAAGGTAGGTAAAGTATTCGAAGATGTTTGAGTGGCTGGCAGGGTGAGTTGAAGAGACAAACGTGAATCATACTCAGATGAAAAGAGAAATGTTATATATATATGATATATATATATAAATGATATATATGAATAATATATATATATAAATGATATATATATATATGCATGATATATATATATATATATATATATGCATGATATATATAAATTACATGTATAAATGATATATATATATATGAATGATATATATATACATATGAATGATATATATGAATGATATATATATACATATATATATATAAATGATATATATATATATAAATTACATATATAAATGATATATATATATATACATGTAAATGATATATATATATATGATATATATATATATATCTATATATATATGAATGATATATATATATACATAAATGAATGATATATATGAATGATATATATATATATACATATATATATATACATACGAATGAGATATATATAGATATGAATGATATATATATATATATAGATATTATATATATATACATGAGTGATATATATCCATATATGAATGATATATATATAAATATATGAATGATGTATATATATATATGAATGGTATTTATATATATGAATGATATATATATATGTATATGAATGTTATATATATATATATGAATGATATATATATATATATATGAATGATATATATATATATATGAATGATATATATATATATGAATGATATACATATATATGAATGATATACATATATATATGAATGATATACATATATATATATATAAATATATATGAATGACATACATATATATATATATGAATGATATATATATATTTATATGAATGATATAATATACACATATAATAGCCCATTTACTATACACATATATCATATATCTGTAGTTGAATCATGGCTCGTCCAGGCCCGTTTTGGCTCGGGCCAGGGCTAAAGCTGTCATGGGCCGGCGCGACCGGGAAGAAAAGGGCGGTGGAGGCGACCGAGGAAGGTCAGACAGCAGAGGCGCCTCAGAGTACGAGCAGCTTGGCGGGAATGTATGGTAGTATTATGGTAGTATATATCTATGTATATCTCTACATATATGTAATATATATATATATATATATCTATCTGTAATATGTAGCATATATATATATAGTAAATGTTTTTTTTGGTACACTCAGATAAACTATATATTAAGAATGGTAGCTTTCTATGTGCTCTTTCTTGCTGATTGATTTGACAATTGTGGAGTTACAGGTCGTAGCACACAGACACACACACACTTGCTCAGAAACAGCAATGCGAATTTTGTTGTGGAATGCATCTCACGTGCACAAAACAGTCCCTTAAAAACTGCCAGGAAAATTTGTTGATCCAGCGTGAATTTCAGTACGAAGTAAACTTTCTACGTCCTTGCTCTGAGGAAGGTTCTGATGCAGCTTTTTTAATCATAAAATTCGTAGAATAGGCAGATTGTGGCAACAGTGCAGAAAAGAAGTTGAAAACAAATCGACATGCCGGTTCTTGGCTTGGCCGGTTGCCATGGACGGAAATGAAAATTGATGCAGGTACGCAGATTGGCGTCCCAATCTGTATCACCAGATCAAATGGGTGTCTTCGTTGGTAGCGGTCCCAAATGATCTGCCGCTACCCCCTGCAAGTATAATTCGAAAGCGAAAACCACGAAAAACAACCATCATCGAAACAAAGGAAGTTTTACATCTTTTCAGATGGTCCACACACACGCCTCGCTGCCGCGAGGCTTTTTCTCAGGTGTACACGCGGTGAAGGCTATTATCCGTTCCCTGAAGCGGAAATGGCTTCAAAATACAGGGAAGAAACATCAAATGAATTAATCCTAAAGCTCACAGGCCTTCGTCAGGTAATGCCTCCATGCGCCGTGCTTGGTTTGACAAAGTCCGTGTAGATTCCGCCAAGTGGCTGGCAAGATGAGCCAAATCTGCCGCCGAGAAGATCTGAACTGGGTGTCGGGAAAGGTCACCTTCAGTATCCTCGAGACGTTCGAGTATGGCCATGTTGGCCTCCCTGTCATTGTTGAGAATGTTCCAGAGGAACGTTGCCAGTTGATGGATCTGGACAGGAGGTGGATTGATGTCAACATTGGCAATGATAGAATCGGTGTCATCCATGCCGGATTCATGCACCGACTCAGGGCTTTCTGGAGCTTCATCTTGACGGGGATGCCAATTTCCATACGGAGAGATCTCCGGAATCTGAAAATAGCGACGCCAGTAGTTGGCGAGCTGGGAGGATTGATCCCATGAGTCAATCCAGCCATTCTGGTCGGCACGAATATGGCCGATGATGCCATTGAAAAAATATTCCGGCTGCCTATTGTGATGGTTGCCACGTCGATCCACTTCCGTCACCATAAGTCGGCGAAGTGCCGGTTGGGTGTTGTCATCTGAAGGTGATTGGACCTCGACAAAGTAGTATGCATGGAGCTGACGTCGGACTTCTTCCATCTCTTGCTGGAGTGGATATGATTCCCTTGTAGGATTAGGGAGAATTGGAGCTTGATGATCGGCAGGAGATGGTATGGGTGTGGCAAGATTTGCCGAAGAGTACCCGTAGTGAGGTGTGTACTCACCTGATCCTGTAGGTGAGATGGAAGGTCCAGCTTGGGGAGCATTGTCGCTGCGGGAAGGATGCAATGAATCCGAAGGAGCAGCAGTGCTACTGGATTGCTCATGACTGCGAGATCTCCATGAAAGACGACGTGGCTTGCTCATGGAGGATGAAGAATACGTGATACCGGCAAATGAGGAATCACGTTTGGTCATGGTACAGCTGGAGCCAAAAGCTAAAGAATTTAACAGGTAAGAAGCAACAAAGAGGCCAAGACAAAAAAGCAAAGGGAAAGTCCCACAACCCTAAATGCAGGAGACTTTTCAAGCTTAAGGAAGCATGTTGCGGTTTGGAAGAGCCTCATGGCAACTCACGCGCATGATATAAGGCTGAATGTGAGACGTAAAGAAATGAATGTTATTTGAAAAGAACTCACTGTGTTCTTGTCCCTCAGTCCAGTGAGGGCGGTAGGTGTTCAAATAGGTGATCAGGTATTCCTCGTTGCGGAGAGCAAATGTATCTCCAGTATCGTCTTGCCATCTGATGTCCATAGATGAAGGAGGTAAGAATCGATCCCACGTATACCAGATATGCTGGCTGATGCAATATAACAGGTTGTACACCGTGAAGGTTTCCAACCGGTGTGTGTTGAGCAGAACATTGTAGGTGAACAATGCACGTTCCTCGACACGAGTGAGGCGAGGGAGGACCTCACATGTTGTGGTGGCCACTGAGTCATGAGTTTTATTCATAAGTGGACGTACTTGTTCAATGTCAACGATGACCAAGACCTTTCTGACTCGAGGAGCAGGAGGAGGTTGCTCAGGCCGAGGATTTGGTTGCCAATCATTTTGCTGAATGCGACGGTTCTGCCACATATAGTCGTCCCGCGAGCGGGAGCGTTCGGGAGCTGTTCGTCGGTGAGAATATGAATGAGCCATATTTGCTGTGGATGAACAAATACAAAGAGATGGAGCACTTAGCGCAGGCGAAAGAAAACCAAACAATGATGGAAAGAACCCCAAAGGAGAAAAAGCCAAGGAGAAAGGGAAAGGAGGGAAAAAGACATGGGTCACAAAAGCAACAAATGAGGCAGCATATCACACTTTTTTGACATCGCAAAGATTGATGCTAGAGTCAGTCATCTCCCTCAAGTTCATGAGGTGGGTTGTTTGGACCCGGTGGGTCAGTCACTTCTGATGTCTGTTTCAAAAGTCCCCATCGGAGCTTGCAGAGTTGAGGGTCGCGATGGAGTCTCGCTCCGATCGTTTTCCACGAAGGTCTGGACTTTGTGTCCTGTTTCATGCCGATCAATTCTTGGTCATCGGCGTGGGTCCAAGGACGAGCCGGATCAGGAGGTGTAGCGGCAGGAATAGCATGGAGGATGCATATGTGGAGGGCGGAGCTTTTGGATTGGGAGTCAATGTAAGAGGAGGTGTTCTGGGTCTTGCTTTCCCACCATGAATGTAACTGATGTCCTCTCTTGACGCAGCCTCCCCATCGGAGTCATCAGAATTCATGTCGCCTGATCGGGCGTCTGATATAATTGGTAGCGATGTCGAATGGTCAGCATCAGGATTGTGGGCGAGTCTGGGCTCAGGAATGGACTCCCCTTTCTGCTTCTTTTTTGGTTGTGGGTCCACCAGATATGATGACCGTTGTTTTGATCGCACTGGAACAGGGGTGGTAG